CCCCCCCCCCCGGTGGTTCTATGCTGGACTGATTAGATCAAATCTCTAACTATGTGTACACAAACATGGTATCGATAAACAAGGATCTGGTGGACTGCGGCTTTCACTGAAAGATGTAAGATAAGAACCAGCAGCGACAGATATATGTGGCTTTGAATCAAGGCTCTGTGTTACGTGTCCAGATTTGACAGCGTCCACATGTTATGATACGCTTCACAAAGACCGTGACGATTCTACTGGTGATGTGGCGTCCCAACTAAATCCGCTACACATTATATACTATAAAGGGTTCGACAACTTGGGAACATACGCAGCTGCTACAAAGTCGTTCACATTTGATCAAAAGGCAGAACAAATCACCGCAAATAGGGGAATAGACAATTTATTGCGCCACCAACGTCAAAAGTTTGGTGTTTTCCGTCGAACGATTGCCCCTTGTCAGTAGGGCTCAGATCGGCCCACATTCCAATGGAACAGAGCCGATCCAGTGTTGGGCTTGACAACAAGTGTGTGTGTGGGCGCACACACACAGGCAGACAAGCTACTTCTTTGGGCAAAATCCGCGCACACCGCAAAACATCTCTCCCCCCATCTCCAAAGAGGTACACCAAGGCTCGGACGTCAATTTCTATCCTGGCACTCCCTGAATATGACTAATTAGACAGATTTATCTTTTGGTTGTCAAGCTGCTGACATCCAGATTAAATAACCGTTGGCAGGAATTGTCTATTTCTGATTTGTCAGTAATACTGTTTTTGGTACTGCTCCACTAGCCGTCAGTGTCACAAGTTTCTTTCGGGCAACGAGCTGAATCGGGGCTTGTACATTGGTTGTGTGGATTCCCCTGCCCCCCATACTGATTTTTGTGATTCGTACCGGGCCGAAATTTCGGAACCCTCTTCATACTGCTCCGTCTGTTGGCATTGACTAGGAAAGTTGAAGGTTTGTTGGATCTCAGTGATGGAAAAAAAAACTTTGGTGGATAGATGTGCTGCAAACAATGTTTTGGTCGCTGAAATCATAATACCTCTTATTCAGTAATATGCAACCTGAAGTAGTTTCCATCTGAATATATTTGTTATTAGTTTGCTATCTGGTTGTGGAAATAGTAGAATGGTGGGGAGGACACGGGAAAGTTGTTGGCAGAGCTTGTTATTTCCATGACAGATGGGTAGATGGGCAGATGGGCAGACTAAGCTGGTAAAGTTTTTTGGCTACGCCTTTGGCAAAGATTCAAATCATCGCCATCTTCATCATACTCTTCAGCATACTCAGACGTATGAGCACCCTCCTTTTCACTCTCAGCAATATCAATGTCACACAGGTGCGATTTCTATGTAAGTTACATCGGTAGTTACTCGGTAGTCTGGAAAAGGATTTAATGCCGGCCCGTAAAAGAATTCCCGCATCACTTTCTCCGTTTAACACTGAAACGTATAGCAAAACCGCTACTGATGTTCCTCACGTTCAAATCCGAAATTTGCATCCACGAAAAACTAAAATGTCGCCCCCAGTTACGATAGAACGGGGAAAGTGAAAGTGGTAAAGTTTGACCTGACTTTGGAGAGATATCAGTGGAAAAGAAACTGTTGTCAACTTGATGGGTTTGGATTACCAGAGATATTCCTACCGCATAGCCTAGTGGTTAACATCGTGATCTTGACTTTGGACAGCCATGGTTCGTTTTCTCGCAGAGAGTCTTCTAACTGGCTGTCAACTCCGTTTAACACTGAAACGTATAGCAAAACCGCTACTGATGTTCCTCACGTTCAAATCCGAAATTTGCATTCACGAAAAACTAAAATGTCGCCCCCAATTACGATAGAACGGGGAAAGTGAAAGTGGTAAAGTTTGGGACAGCCATGATTCGTTTTCTCGCAGGGAGCCTTCTAACTGGCTTTCAGGCAGGTCTCTATAATGTTGTACACCCGTTGCCTCATCAATAAAGACTTGAAGTATAGTTTTTTTTATCACTACCAGAAGTCAGCAGCCTCCTCAAATCAAAACATAATTTAGTATTCTCTTGTTTTTAGGAGCTGATCCAAGTTAACTAGTGTACTTATTGGATTACAGACCATGAAGTTCCTGGCAGACAGACATTTGCATAAACTAAACATGTGCCTATCTGTTTACGTGAATTTCAATAAAACTTTATTTCCGTTGACCTGTGATGACCGGGTGTGAGTGATAACGCAGCTGCATGTACGCGCGCGCGCGTGCGTCTGTGCGCCTGTGTCAGCGTGCGTTCGTGCAAACGGTGCGTGTGTGTCACCATATCGATTGCGTGCGACGCAGGCGACCGATCGGTTGAGTTGGAATCCCGGTATATATATATATATATTCACCTTCGGGTCAAAGGTTAGCTAATCGTCGCCTCAATATTGGAGCCCTAACAATGGTGATGATGATGATGATGATGATGATGATGGTGATGGTGAAAGCTGCCTGTCATCCTTGCTACAGTAGTTGTTTTCTGCTTGAAGTACGTAGTCCTGAATACCTGGAGTTAATCCTTCAAGTGGACCAATGCTGGATGTAATATCCCCCTCCTTTCTGACATACAGTTTATGGGAAGTAAAAATTGGCCACTTATTAGAAAGTAAGAGATAATGACGCCGTCTTGAACCATATGTCCACCTATTTCAAGTAGGTGTATTCTAGTACTGTCTCTTAAATGTATAGCTGAGTCAGAGTGTTGTGTACAAGACAGGCTGGGCGAATTCACAGCCCAAATTGAATTCATACAGAAACACGTAGTTCACTCAAGACGTGACCAAAAAGGGGATTAGGCCTGGTATCAAGACCCACCAGGGAATGGATTGGCATGCCTGGCAAGCTGTACGATTCTTAGGATGCTAAACACATCCAACATCGTAGTAGTGTTCCGTAAAGTGAAAAGTTTGAGGTGAGCATTGGTACAATTGAAAGATGGCCTACCGGTTGAAAGGATCAGGGAGAGAAAAGTAAGCGCGGCGACTATACTAAGGTGCATATGGTAGGGAGCTAGGGGACCAAAATCCAGAACTGGTGAACACAAGAGATTGATCATCACCGAGAAATGCTTACGAATATCAGGTGCTGGTCAGGAGGTCGGTGATGGTGGAACACAAGCGCGATATGGGACACGAGATAGGCCTGCACAGTGTGGAAGATTTGTGAAGGGAACTAAGGGACTGCGATCACGGTGGTGGATGGCCGGTGGAATTTACTACGCTTAGAATAGACTACATAGAGCTGGCGAGAATATGGAGATCGGTTTTGAATAACCGAGTAGATAAATGGCAATGTGAGGCTGTCTGTCCAGCGAAATCATCTGCAGAAAGCCCAACCCGACTCAAATTCCTTCCCTTTATTCAGTAATCCTGACCGGTATACTGGCCCATCCACAAATATGAACAAAAATTGTGAACGAAACTCAAAAGGACTATTCACGTGAAATGAAGTGTAAGGATCAGACCCTAAAACTGGCTCAAATTTTTGTAAGGTTCCCCTAGTCCACCGGTTTTAATCCACACTAACAACCGAAATCTTGTGGCAAGTGTCTAACACTGATTTAAGCTGTCGGTAAGAAGAGGTCTGGTTTATGTTTTTCAAGATGGATCATTCACCCAAACGTTTAGTCCTAAATATAAGGTGGATTTAGACTCAAGGCACACACGCCACACTACTCATAAGGTTGCTGCAGACTCTTGGACAACCCACGACCGGTTCCGCCCTTCTTGGGACCCATGAGGTAGGGACAGTCCCCAAGTTTCCGTTTACCTTAGTGTATTACATCTAGCCGACAATGTATTGCGATGTCTCGAATATGATGCTGAAACACGAGGCGGACCACCGTGAACGAGAGATTCACCTGGATGCAGGTGAATCTCCTGTCAAAATCTATTCGTGCCCACATTGGTACTGTAGTCTACGACAACATGACAAGGCCGAGAGTTTGGATCACAGAAACCAAGCGTGATGGTCACGGTAAAAAAAAGTCCCTCCACAACAAAATAAACGAATTCCTACTGATTCAACGGAAAGGCACTAAATCTGCAATTCGTTTTTTTTTTTGTGTGTAGGATAAGCTTCCTTTTCACCTTACATCTATATCTCAGCTGATCAATTAACGCCGGACACAAAAAGTTGTGGTTACTTCAGCCGTTATTTTTACCGTACCAACCAACAATCTCAGCTTGTTGAAGTTCGTTAGTTGTTATCAGAAGACAAACAGTACCTCAGTCCGCAATCCCACACCAGATGACTCATGTATGCTGCCCACCAACTGGTATTGAGTAGGACTTGCCTTCAACCATAGTCCTCACCAAATCCCCACGTTTCAATAATGCATAAGTCCTAATCGATATGGAATGATTGACCGGGCTTTTTGTACGGCCTAGTGTACACGCGGAGAATGAAAGAAACACTATGGGGACAATCAATGTCCCACACTTCCGGTGACGGCGGCTTTTAGACTTGATGCCTTTCACTAACTAACTACCTTGCGTTCTGTTCTGCTTCTGACGCGTGTGGTCTGATCTAGCCACCGAGGTCACGTGAACCGTTTCTATTGGACAGTGTTCACGTGACCTAATCTGTGAGCTGGGCATTAAAAATAGACTAACGGTCTGAGTAGTTTGGTTGAGGACTGGAAGCGCGGGATAAACGACTGGTTTGAACGAGTTTCGGTCTCTCACACCCAATTGACGGGAACATTTTGCTTGAATCCTGAATATCCAGTCAGATTAATCGCGTTTTGAGATACAATAAGCTGTTGCTCTTTGGAAAACAACTTCAATTCTGAAGTACTTTTCAGCATCCCAGTGACGTAAATTCCGAGATCTTGGAGGGTTTCCAGCCGGAGGCAGCAGAATCAATCACATGACAGCCTTCACTGCCCCGAAGCGGTCAATATACTACTGAATAAAGGACATGAAAATCGGAACCACAATTTCATATCACTCGATGTTCTGGAGTATAATTCAGCAACCACGTTATGCGGGTAATTGGGCATCCCTTTTGATCATTTGTCGCACGCAATTTTAACGTGAGCCCATAATCCTAAATATGCGTTGTCAGAGGATATCTAGATCAAGGAGCTTCGCCGCAAATGGGGGTTCCTTGAACCTCGTAAGCTTGAATCCCAGATTGCGAGGAATTCTCAACTGCTAATGACTTAGATTGGCTTGTGAGAGTCCTCACAGTGTGGTTTCTCTCAATGACAATGATGGCCAAGAAATTCTGCGCGATCAACATTTTCTCCTGAAAATGCCTTCGTGAAGAAGGTCGTCCAAACCAAACAGAACGAGGAAGTTGTTGAGCTCGCGTCCTACCCATCTCGTCCTCCGACAGGGGACGACCATAGAGGGACGTCAGTGGATCGTTCCGGTCGGATTACGGAAGTCTGTGGGACCCCAACACCCATCGGCAAGTGTGAGCGTTCAGCTGTGGCACCCTTCCGGTCCCTGGCTGCCATGCCACCCGAAGGAAGCACGACGGCTGGGATGCTGCCAGGTTGCCCAAGCCTAGACAGGGGAAGTCGAGAAGCAGAGGTCGGGTTCGAACCACGGACCTTCCGGTCAGTAAATTCGCGCTCTAACCACTTGGGCTATCTCGCCCAATTCTCACACATTGTACCAACAAACTTGAGGGCAGTTCGATACAATTCCAAATCTATTGGCTGGAACATTTCTAGACAACAGTAAAATCCATCGGAAACTTTTGACCGGCCCGCACACACACACACACAACCCCGAATGAATTTGAACATACTCATCAGACAGAATGCCAATCACATTTTTCCGGAAATTGTGTTACACTGGCATCACTTTTGGCCTCAAACTCACTATCCAACTAGCCAGAGAATAAAGTAAATAACCCCTGCTCATTCCAAATTCGTCTAGGGCTTGCTGCAATGTGATGCATGCACTGATGTCTAGTCACTCGCTTCCTCGCTTGGCAACGAGTGGAATTTCACAAACTATTTTATCTTCTCAAGTTTAATGGTTCTTCTATGCACACTGGGTCGAACCGAGACTAGCGAGCACCTTGCAGAAGTCTTCCAGCTCTGTGAATAGCTGACATCTTTTCCAGAGTTTGTGTGTGTGTGCGAGCGAGTGAGCGTGCATGTATTCACAATGCCTCCAAGCTCAAGTCTGGAATTCGGTCGACAGAGTGGAGGACTGCCATTCTGAGCAATTTTGTACACGAAAAAATTCCTTGCAGATTCTAAAAACATTACTACTAATACTATCATCAGGCTGTCCAATTATGCGGCACTAGAATTACGAATTGAAGGCGCACACAACCACAAGTTGGCCTGTGCATGGTGGGTTTGGCAGTCCTGCACCAAAAGAAGGCTTTTCATCATTTTGTCAGTGTTGCTGCCCCGATCAAGTTCGTTTGTCCCGGAGAGAATAAAAACCGGCAAAGTTCCGGTCCCCATCATGTTGGAGGATCAGAATCAATCTTCCAGCTCAGAAGTTTTGCACTAATCTGTAAATGACACGCTTAAATGATACATGAACGTATCCAGCCTGACAACGAACCTCCAGGTTGAAACGGGTTTGGAGTGTGCTTCCTAAAACTTTGTCGACACTCTCAGTTCTTGTAAACACGTGTCTTGGCCAATTCCTATGAGTATTCGGGTTTTTAGGCGCGGCTCTGAAAGTAGGTGATTGTCGAGCTAGTGATCTGAAGGACTTTTCAGTTCACGCTCACCCTCCGTTACGGAGGAAGAGTTAACTGTAGGGTCTTAGAGAGAATTGTATACAAGGTCTTGACTGATGGCGAAGGGGTCCCTCCTAGAGGTGGAGTTACTACATCGATTGTTTTTTTATTGAACACTGCAGAGCGGCTGAGGCCATTAGAAGTGATTCCTGTTGTTCAGTGCTTTTGGGTTTCTTCACTAAATCTGACCAAGACCCGGCTGTCATGAGGTCTCAAACAAGCCTCAGTTTTTGCCATCCTCTTGTATCAAGAACCCCACTGATTGACTCAACTTGCGTTGTACGCCTTGATGTGTCGAACGACCCAGGGGGCGAGGTGGCTCAGTAATTAGAACGCGAATTCGCTAACCGGAAGGTCCATGGTTCGAATACGACCGCTGCATCTCAACTTCTCCCGTCTAGAATTAGACAACCTATCCCTCGTGCTTCCTTCGGGTATCATGGCAGCTAGGCACCGAAAGGATGTTACGATCCACGATGTCAGGTCCAGAGAAACTGAGTCAATTAATTGAGCGTCCAATCTACGGTCCACTGACCAATCAAAATAGATAAAACTTGAACAAGGGATCACGTGCTACTTGGGCTTTGAGTGACAAAAAGCTAGCATACGTTGATGGACTTAAACTAAAATCACATCTATGATCACTCTTTGGTTTTCAGGGCGACCAAGATGGTGAGAACGGAGCTGTGATTTTCGAGGAAACATCATACTCATGATGAGATGCAATCCTTGTTCAGAAGCGAAATTTCTGGCGAACATCACTTTCAAATTATCGCAAGCCTACAACAGGTAATCAACAAACTCTTGAACATCATTTATTGGTGGTCCGAACACGAGGAGTACTTGGCTGAATTCTACTTCAACGGGTCTGTTCGCATCAGTGTTCCAGGACCTTTCTGCGCACTTGTCTACTGAATCCGATAGACCCCTTCGGTGGGGGGGAAAGGGGTTGGAGAATG